TATTCCCTTCCCTTTTTGACAAGTGATAAAAAAAACAAATTTTCCAACTTTGCCTTTGTTTCCAGAAAACCTTACATTTTATCTCTTGACCGACTTTATTCAGCAGATAATTCCATAACCTGGATTTTAAATAGTAATTATCAACAATGTCTCCATTTTTGTTATCTAAAGAAATTTCATTGCTCCAGTAATTCACACCTTCACCTCTTCTTTTGACAAGTGATAAAAAAAGAACAATTTTCTAAATCTGCCTTTGTTTCCAGAACACCTTAAATTTTTACTCATGACCGATTTTTTCCACCAGATTATGGCCTGCAGACCATGCTTTAACTCGGATTTTAAAAGCAATAATGTCTCCATTTCATAGTTAGTTGTCAAGTTTGGCCATATGGTTTTTGTAGGAAAAATCAGATGTTTCTGTCCTTCCCCTCTGCTTTTATCCAAGAAAGAAGAAAAAACAAACTCTCTGAATTTAATAAATCTTGTCTTGTCTCTTGGTATAGCTATTGAGCAATCCTTTCACCCCTTAAAGTGTTACATCCCTCTCACTATAGGTATCAAGCTATCCCATCAACCCATAAGGTGTCACATTAGCATCTGGTTCATATGGTAGCACATGGTATGCAGTGAGCTTAAACAATCATAACTTTTTTGCCATTTCTGTTACTCCATATGCAACCGGCACACATTTTTTATTCAGAAATAATGCCAAGAAAATATTTATCCGTCCTTAGCCAGTAAAAAGTTTGAATTAAAATTTTACTGTTCCTTTTTCCTTTCTCTTCAAAAATCTCTCTTTAACTTACAAGTATTTATCAACAATCAGCACTGTTTTTATTTCTGCACAAAAAAACAAGAAAGAAAAATTGAAACAAACATTTGCATGCAACTTGTAGCAGAACTGAGCTACAGCTTGTAACAAATACATGATCATTGATATTGTAGAAATTGCTATGCTACAGGTCTGAATAATTGAGGTTGAGAAGTTTTGAAGAAATTCAGTTCAACATTTTCAAAAGGAATAAATTTCAATACATGGAGGAATTTTACATATACAATTGTATATAAAAAGCAGTGATGTTGATAGGTTTTTAATGTAGTAAGTCCCTGGGGCCCATTTGTGATGATTTCAGTGGTTTATCTGGAAATTCAGTGGATTCCAACTAAAGTTTCTTAATAAATTATAGTGTTATTAATGACATTATTAGTCTGACACGTTTCCACTTACTTGGCTCTCATGACAACTGGAAACAACCACTACAGAATTAAATATTATCACAGCCGAGCATAACAAATATATGTTTGTTGGTTAAAAACGTTTGCACTAATAGTTTAAAAAATATGTTTTATATATTTAACAACAAAAATACAAAATATTTTTAAAAAATGACATATCTAAGTACTAATTACCATTAATATCTATCATAGTTCATTTGACAAATGATTTATGTTCGGTTACATCTGGAGCAAAAGAAGAAGAGGTTTTATTTTCCAGTCCTTTTATAGTTGCTTTATACTGTGTATGGGAGCATAAGAACAAATAATACCAACAAAGTACTGCCAGTGAGGAGGAAAGAAAATGAGACAAGATATATAAAATAAAATTCTTTGTATTGCTGGTATAACAGATCAAGGCAGAATGTCTCTTGTGGGTGAGGGAAGTGATCTGGAGGATGGGAGAGTAGGTAGTTTACAGGCCTGGTGTTGAAGTGTGAGTTGGACTGGTTTACCCACAACTACTGGTGAATTCTATGGCTGTCTGTTTGCTTATTGCCTTGAGTGTTGTGAGCAAGTCCTTTTAAGGAGTCAAGGTGGATATAGGACTCAATGTTTTTTGTCAAGCAAGGTAAAAGTAATCCCCACAAACTAAATACTTTTGAAAGATTTTGAACATTTCTGAAATCCTCTTGTCTTGATAAATATTTTGTATATTGTGTATTAGCTTTATTATTCACAAAGTTATTTCAATCAGAAAAAGATTTCAACTGACTCATATTAGTTTCTTTATGAAATGAAATTCAAATTGTAGAAATATATTTGCTCAAAATTAAAAATTGTATCAACTCTTTCCATTAAAGATGCAAGGAGATACTGAAATTGAGAGAATGAGAAGGATTTAGAAGGAACTGGAAACTGAATTCTAAACAGGAAACAAGTGATAAAATTCTACTCCTGTTCCAAAGACGGGAGAGGAGTGTGAACCGGGCGATTTGTCTAGAAAGTCTTCTGCCTGGTGATGCCATATCATCACCACACTGGCTGCATCCAAAGCTATGGAACCCAGTCTATTCAATTGTGCTAGTTGAGTGGTGACTCTACAAAAACTTTTACCCACACTTTGACAGATCTTGTTTTTAATCCTGCTGGGTGTCTAACCATCCTTCTTACCAGAAAATCCTTTTTACTAAGAGAAGTTAATATAATAAGCATTGATGCAGTTATGAAACTTATTGCTGATTATCTCTGCTTTTTCTTTCCTTATCACTTTTTGAAAGTATTTAAAATATCTCCCATATTTCATTATATAAAACTTAGAAAATTTTAAACTTAGATCTTATTAAAGATCTAGTTGAAATGAAAGATGTTCATAGATAAAAGGAAATGTTCTATGAACAAATATGAAATAAATATTTTTAGCAAACTGTATAAGAAATAATTAATAAAATCAAATTAATTAATAAATAAAAATAAATTGTATACAAATTTCTTTTTCAATTGTACACAATAGCATTGTCAACATGTCAGATCATGCACTCTCTCTCTCCAGAAACTCTAATGCTCAGCATGACTACAGTATAAACCACAAGATGGCACTGTGAGTGTTGAAGAAATATGTTATAAATACGTGTATAGTAGCATAGAAGAACAAACAAAAGAACAGTATTGTTGGTAAAGCAAAAGGAAAAGAAGACAAGAATTGTAAATATAAAAGCCTTTTTTATTGCCAATACAGCGGATGTGAGCAAGATCTCTGTATGGGCAAGGTGTGGCAATTTGGAGGAGTGTGGTTCACAAGTGGATATGTGTGTTGGGCGGGCTGGGAAGTGACATTGAGAGGGGCCTGGAGTGGATTAGTGAAGTCACAGGTCGGATTCAGTCATTTATGATTGGCTTTCTTAAAGCAAATGTGGTAACTCCCAGATTCATCATTTTTTCAGGTTTTTTTCTTTGGCAGAAAAGTTTGTGATTGGCTTCTTTTATATTTTTTTCAGGGTATTTGTTTTGTGGGCTGGATGCGATGCTCAGAGCCCCTGCAAAGAGGTTGACTTCTTTCATTTTGGTTTTGCTTACTTCGCTTTCACATCTGGCCAACATGTCAAATGTATCAGAAAGAGATCTAATTTGAAGCAGAATCTAATAAACACGAATGTGCCTGGACACAGCGTCTGCAATAGGGATTATCTAACCACCCTAGCAGACAAACATATACAGAAAACATGCAGCCAATCTACACTCAGTACACAATAGGATTACCTTATTTTGCTTTTTTGAAAGAGTTATTTTTTTTATTTCTATGAATCACAGTGTCATTATTGTTAAATTTGAATAGTTTATTTCATTTTAGTTTTGATATTTTTCCAGAAGCAAATTCTTTATTTTCTGAACCATGCTCTTTACTTAATAATTTTAAAATGTAAAAATAGCTTGAACATTAGAGGAAAAACTAAAAGTAACAAAAAAAATGTTTGTGAAAAATTGTAATGTGTAAGTTGAAACTAACTGTAAATTTTTCTTTAAATTGATTATAAAATGTTAATTTTCTGGTTTATTATTCTATAATTCATGAACAGTCCATTAATTAAAAAAAAAGTGTAACTCAAATATAAAAAAAAGAAAGAAGTTTTTTGCAGGTTGATCCCCACTAATCCACTTGAATCACTTGATGCTTGATGGTTCGAGATGATGATCAGACGGTTATTGCTTTGTTTTGTTTGTAGGTATGATGAAAAATGAACAAAAAAATTCAGCGGGAAATCAAATTGCCATAACGTAACTTTTTATTTCATTCATAAAGAAGACAGATTGGATAATATTTTGATATTAAAATTATTAGTGTGCATTCTACAGAACATAATTAAAATGTGATAGTCCGAAAAGTTGGACAAACAAATGAAAAAAAAAACAAACTGAAAATACATTGAATTTGGATGAGATGAGGAGACCATTTTTCGGTGGAAAAACACCGATTTTATTTTTTAAATCTATCAAAAAAAAAAAAAAAATCAACTAATAATTGGATTTTAAAACTTTATGCTTTATTTAAACTTAAAAGTAAAGTGTGATAGAAAATTATTTTTAAAACGTTTCCATTTCAAATTTACTTTGTAGAAAAACATTAGCTAGGTTTAAATAAATTTTTATCGGTATTTGTCAATATAGCGTACAGTATGCATTATTTTAATAATTTATTTTAAAGTTTCACGCTAGTTCATAAACTCCGCTTTCGACACCTGTCGCGTTATAATGAAACCTGTGTTATCGTAATTTTACACTACAGACACTTTATGTTTTTTTTTTTAGTTAGTAGTTTTAAAAATTACTTAGCATGTGTGAAGTCCGAAGTCAATTGGGTTAGTTAATAACTTATTTAGTGAAATAAAAATTTGTTCTTACTCTTAGTCTTCTTTGAGTAGTAACTTCTCTTCTAAATAGGAATTTTTGAGTATTTTTGTTGTTTTTAAAGAAGAAATATTAAAAAAAATAAATAACGAAAATATTTATTAATCCAAGAATATAACTAAGAATATTATATACCTTATGCTGGTACACTGACTTTTTTAAGGCAGAAGTCGAAATGTATAAGTAATAGATGAAAGTCAAAGGTGCTTTACTTTTTTGTTGTTAACGCGTGTCTTCTTATGTTTGCCGAGAAAATTTACGACAGTGATAAAGTTCGGTTTGTGGCAGGATTGTGTCATGACGTAAGAAGCCGAGCAGCTAGTTTTGTTGGTTCGATGGTTGCAGTTGGAGGGTGGCTTTGAGCTCATGTTTTTAGAAATATGGCAGATTTTTTAAAATCAGCTCTTGGCTACTTTAGTGGGGGAACCCCAGGGCGAGAGGACAATGATTTCGTGGGTCAAAGTGTCGAGCTTGGTTCCCAAAAACTGCGTGTCAAGAGCGTAATCGCTGAAGGTAAGTCGAACGTTTGGGGGTGGTCATTACATAGACTACGGAGAACGGGGGGATCAGTTTTTAATGCTTCTTTGTATGTAAATTGATCTCCCATTTTGTGGTCACTTGATAATACACTTTTCAGGAAAAGATGTTGCTTCTGAGAGGTGAAATTATAAAATGTGCCGTGTACTTCTATTCACTCCCCACCTTTAAGCAGTTAATTTTATGAAGATATCTAAAGAAAAGAAAATATTGGCAATATTTGATTGTTCTTAGTTTGTCCATGTAAATGATAAACAAAGTTAAATAATTTTTGACAATTAAAAATATGGGACTTTTTTTAAAAATGTTTTCTTATTTTTACGGTGTACGTCATTGTAAGGAGTTTTTAGTTTCTTTGCGAAACATGAATTATTTGAAATATGTCTTCGTTGTTTATATTTTTTGTCTTGGTACTGTTTTTGTTCTAAGTAGCTTTTGCGATAAAGAAAGCATATTAAAAATTGTTTTTCTTAAAAAGAAAGGAAAACTTTTATTTTATGAAAAACTTGAAAGCGAACTGGAATCATTAGAATTCAAAAATTCACTTTTCTTTAGGATTCGTTCATAGACAAATTTTGTTTCATAAATTATTATTGAAAACTATAATTAATACTTTTAAATCAATTATTATTATAGCTAAAAAAAAAATAATAATAAATAAATTTAAATTCATTCCGGTGAAATTCTCTTCGTGGTTTTTTCTTGTATCCGAATTTAAATTTCTGGTTGAGTGATTTGTGATGCAATCAACAAATTTGAAAATAAAATTAAAAAAAAAATCAACTTCATCTTTTTCATGCTTTTTTTTTTTTGTCGGAGGTGAAAAAAGACAGTCTCGTTCGCTGTATGCCAACTAACCAAAGAAAAATGTAAATATTACTTGGCACCGCATGACTCATGTAGAAAAATATCTATCGGCTGTAGTCCAGAAAATTGCACCTTGATTTGCATATAACAAAAAAAAAAAAAAAAAAAAAAACAAACAAACAAAAAAACTTTGATAGCATTTTTTTCTCTTAAAGTATATTGTTTTATTATGTCCTTTTCCTAATGCTTTCTTTGGTTGGATTCACATAAAAAAACAAACCTTAGCCTTTCTTCAAACAAAATGTGTTGTACTCCACTCCCATGCTTGAATGTGACTGATCAGGTTTTTATTCAAATTCGGAATCTCGCATTTTCAGTCCATGGTCATTCCGTTTAGAACTTTTTTAAATGTTCAAGGAAGACATATGCTGATAAATGCTATAATACATTATCCTTTTAATTAAACATTGTTCTTGTTTTGTTTATTTATTACGTTAAATGGTACACCTTCACTTTAGTAGTCTAAGTTTCACCACTATTGATACGTTGTGACACTCATTCGCTACTCAGTCACAATCGTTTTTTTTTGTTTTGTTTTTTATTAAGATTTGCATTCACCCGATTAATCTTGTATTTGGAAATATATTCAGAATTTTCTTACATCTTTTTTTATGTCATTAGCTATATTTTTAAAGCAGTAATTGACTCTCTTAAAGAATCGCTAAAATTTTCAAACTAGAGAACAAGGTGAAAACGAGAGTGGGAAAAATGATGTCACATCATTATTGTGGTCGGGTTTTCTCTTTTCATTTTTACGAACAATTAACAATAGTTACCGCTTTTATCAGCGGAAGATCAGAATAATGTTTAAGGTGTTTATTTACTTTGTTTCAAATGTTGTTTTCTTCCAGGTCATACGTCTTGTAAATACCCACCCACACACTTGAGATATTCAGGAATACTACATATATTTTCCAAACCCTCCTACGCAAAATGATTATTTCTTATTGTATTTCTGGGCATCATGTTTTGATTGTTTTGTTTGTTTAAAAAAAAAAAAAAAAATGAACGAAATTTTTTTTTGTTATAGAAAAAAAAAAAAGAAAAGTTTTTTAAATGTACTCTTTTAAGAGAAAGAAGTATATTTCTTATCGGTGCTTTTAAAAACATTGATTTCGTCACCCGGGCACTAAATTAGTTATGATGACCCTCGTAAGACCAAGCCACCCACTCTTCTGGTGGGTAAATTTGTACTAAATAATGTCCCTTTAATAATAAATCACCAACGGATACTAATTCTGAATGTATAAAATTACACTCTTTGTTTAAAGTTATGCTTTGTATTTGAAATTAAGTAAAAATTAGAATTAATTTTTGAAAATCCCTACATGACTTTTAGTACACACGCACACAGTCTGCAAATAAAATGACAAAATCTTAACCTCTAGTCTACGGACATAAAATGTTTTTTTTACAATAAACTAAATAAAATACTATTACTACTATAATTTTAAAAAATGTAAGTGTCAGAAGTCCTTGAAATTAATGTTTTATTTACAGTGAGAATCCTGCTTAGCTTACAAAAAAATAACAATTTTTTATTCACGTGTGTATTTTAAATTTAAAATATAATCTTGTAAAAATACATTTATTTATGAAAAATATGGCACACCCACAAATGAATCATGTGAGCATCTTTATCTAAGAAGTTATAGGCGGTATCTTATTTTTTTTTTTTTTTTTATTCATATTTATTTATATTTTGTATTTATCCACTTAAAGGTGAACTGTTTTGCTAATGTACTTTCATTTGAACTTTGGCTCAAACATTATTAGCATAAAATATTTGAAAACTTTGTGTTTTATATGAAAGAATGCTATCCTGTGGTAAATGATGTTTTTATTTTATAATTAGTAAATTACTTAAGTTCTGGATTATCAGTATTTCCTTTAAATTAACTTAAAGGCACTGACCACCAAACTCATTTTCTAATTTTCTTCATCTTTTGTTTGATATTGTCTTTTTACAAACACACACACACACACACACAGAAAAATGCATTCATAGAAATCAAAATTGTTTTTCTATTTGACTGAAATCTGTCCAATTGTTTCATCTGGTTATTTTTGGTTATTATTTATTAAACTTAGTTTGGCACAAGGCCACAAGTATGGTGTACACACCGAGAACTGAACTTAGTACTTAATTTTAATGGTTAATCACACTAGTCTACTATTGCTCCATGTATTAGCTGGCTATTTCTGGTTGATTTGAAAATATACATTTATTTTATGTGTGCTTTTTTATTTATTTTTTTAATTAATAAGAAACTTTGGTTCGAATGTTAAGTGTTGACATGCATGTTCATCTCCAAGCTATTAATAATTCTTAAATGGATATTTAATAATAATGACCTTATATAAAACTTGATTTGTCTTAATTAGGTTGATGCAAAAGTTTGTCTTTTTTCTTTCCTTTTCTCAAAATCTTAATATGAATTGATAGCATAGTTATTAAAACTATTATTCCCCTGGCTTTCTCTGACCTCACATCACATTTCCATATAAATTGTGTATTCCTTATAAATTTTATAAGGAATACACAATAAAAGAAACATTTTTATCTGAGTTATAAAATTTATCATGAGCTTCTTAAAATAACTGTCCAAACAAGGAATATTTTATAAAAAGGAAATGAATGATTGTCTGGAGAATATGCTGCATTTGGAAAAATTTACTTCAGTGCATTTGAAACTTGAGAATGGGTGGTGTTCTCCATCAAATTATGAGGTAATGTCCTTGGGGAGTCATTCTCACCCCCTACTGTATTATAAAAATCAGTCACTAATGTTAACAAAAGATATACAGATTACAGTGTTTGTAGCAGACAAAGAAAGAAAACTAATGCAACTACAGACTGTAGTAAAGAAGTGAGAAGAAAGGACTAAACATCAACATGGTTGTCAGTAAAAGGAACAGCTCAAGATTTAAACTATAAATTGGAGACATCAAAATCATGCAAGTATAAAAATTTAAATATCTAGGAAGTGTTTTAACAGAGGGTGAATAATGAGATACTGGAATCTGAAGGCATACTGGAATAGTGAAAGTTGCCTTTGAAAAGCTAAGCAAAGTATTAAGAAACTAGAAAATTTAATTAGAAACAAGAGTACTGAACAGTTAAGTAATATGACTGCTGGAAAATCTTCACACATTTTGAAGAAGACTTTAAGCAACGAAATGTGCTTCTACAGAAGGTACTTTGGGGATACCATGGACTGAATGTATGAGTAATGAAGTTTTGGGGAAATTGGAAACAAAAAAGACACTTAGAATCAGAAAGAGATAATTGAAACTTCTAGGGCATATAATGAGAAAAGAGGGCTTGGAGAATGTGTCACTCACAGGATATGTTGAAAGCAAGAGAGGCAGAGGAAAGCAGCAAATAACCTACATAATAAACTTGTGTAATTGGTTGGCAGAACAGGGATTAGGAGAGATAGCAAAAAGACAAACCATATTATGGGTGTGTATGCTATTTATGCATGTCCACATTTTTCGACTGATTTCGATGAAATTGTACATATATGATGCAAATTTATCAAGATAGGTTGAGATCAACTTTTCAATCGCTAGCCCGACCACTGGGTTTGGTAGAAAAATTGATAAAGCTGAAGGTGGGTACAACTTTTTTTGCAACAATCGAGGCAAAGTTACACACAAACAAAATTTTTACTGTATGAGCTGATGTTCTTTGCACTTAATGCAAAACATAGCTCATGTTATGAGGTTTATATAGAGTGCTTGATAGCATCACACAAAAAATTGCACTACTTAAAATATAAACTTGAATAATATCCTTACTTTTTTATCCGATTTTCTTCAAACATGTTACAAATTTGCCAGCATGAAAAGAATAAGGTAGTGTGGTTTTAGCCCTGCTCACTTATCTGCATATAACGAAAAACTACAAAAAATGTTCAAAAAGCCTGTTTTTCAGCCATAACTCCCTGGCTTTTCATCCAATTCTTTTCAAATTTGCTTTACAGTAAACGTGCAAAGAAGGAGAGGCACATTCATATATTTGCACTTGTAGTTGAATCAAGCTCTGATGCTTCATCCCTGTTTTTGTTTATTAGATTTGTGAATAATACCATAACAATTGAAAA